CACACAAGAGCTTCAGTTTGAACTGGGTGTAGTTTCTAAAGCTCTCCCAGAGGAGGCTAGCCTGACGCTCTTTAGTTATAGCTGCCCACACCTAACCAATAAAAGTTAGGCCAAGTGCCCTAAAAGCTAAGATTAGCTCTTTCCTTTAGGCAGCCAGGTGGCTCAGTGGATGGAGTGCGGGGCCTGAGGTCAGGAAGACCTGAGTTCAAATGCAGCCTCAGATACTCACTAGCTAGGTAACCCTGGGCAAGTCAGTTAACCTATGTTTGCCTTAATCCACTGGAGAAGGCAATGGCCCAGTGTAGCAGCCTTATATTCCAGCTGCCTAGGGTTAGGTTCTGCCAATCTGATGCATTCCCCTGTAAGGTCCTCTCTCCTTAAGCTCTAAATGTATTTGCACAAGAACCAAAGGTAGGCTAAGGAGGCCAGGGTAGTGTTCTCCACCCACCTGGTCCCAGATTCAGTCTTAGGCCTCCCTTCAGTAGCAAAGCCTCAGTGCTTTGGTGCTCTATTTCTTCCAGCAAAAAAATGAATGTTTCTCTGGGTGCCCTGAGGAGCTTGCAGGGACAGCATAGACAGGGCCTTTGGAGCCTCTCCCAGGTGCCAATGCTCTGGAGGGTCCCTTGGGGAGTCTTCAGTACTCTCAGGGGCTTGAGCTCTCAAGGACATTCAGGGACGCTCCAGGACTTTTTTTCTGTCACTCTTGGAGGCACTGAAGAGTTCTCAAGGCCTCTCTTGAGGCCTCATCTAGGCTCTAAGGGTCTCATATTCTCTCCTACACTTTTTTTTTTTTGCTTTTTGCAGTGAGGCAATGGGGTTAGGTGACTTGCCCAGGTTCACGTAGCTAGTAAATGTCAAGCGTCTAAGGGCAGATTTGAACTCAGGTCCTCCTGACTCCAAAGCCCGAGCTCTATCCACTCCTACACTCTTTAGAGGCTTTTCAGATGTGGAAGAATATTTAAAAACTCCTTCACAATTTGTCTGGGAAGATGAAGAAATCATCATTTTCTGGCCACAAGCCCCTTCCAAGACTTTCTGGTTTGAGGACAGGAGCATTTCCTTATGGAAAGAGTACTTGGCTCTGGTTTACATCCTTGCCTCCCCCCACCCACAAGAAGCAATGGAAATATTGACCCATCTAGGTCTCCACAAGGGATCAGCCTAAGACCCACCCAAAGTGGGGAAGGGCCCTCTTCTATTCTGAGATTCTGAAGAGATATGGGACCTTTTCGTTCCAGAAGGAGTCAGAGGGTGATTGGTACTCCATTGCTGTTCTGGATTGTTAACTGCCAAGCTGGACTGTAACACTGTCCACTCTTTTCCTATTTGGAGAGTCCTATCAATATTACCTCAAATATTCGGGGGGTCTGGGGTAGAGTCCTATTAGAGGGCATATGGGGAGGGGATAGGCCAGTTCAGACCTCTCCTCCCCCCACTCCCTCTCTGTTTTCCAGAAAAGGTTTGGATAGTACATCTAAACATTTTTTATTTAATAATTTAAAAAATTTTAAATTTAAATATAAAATGAGAAAAGAAAAAAAAAAACACTGCCATGTACACAGCAGACCATAAGAGAGGAATAGTAAATGTCCATTTCAAGAAAACCTCTAGAATAAATACTACACAGTTTTCAAAGCCGCCCAGCTTTTCTGGGCTTCTTTGTTGGTTTTCTTTTGTTCTCTGCTGCGCACTTTTTACTTTATTTTTCTCCTCCCCCCCCCCAAAGAAGGCTACAATTTAGCGTGGATATATAAGCATATACATAGATATCTATAAACATCGCTATACATACACTCATATACATAACTGTAAGACCATCCTATGCTTATTTCCTTCTATCATCTGTTTCTCTGAGGGTGGCTAGCATCTGCTTTCACAGCTCCAAGTCTTTCCACATTTTTCTAAATCAACCAGCTTATTATTTCCTGCACCACAGCAGTATTCTGGCCCAGTCACATCCTATCTGAGAGATTGTCTATGAAAGTTTTCTCCCAATTTTCTTCCTTCCTTCTGTTCTTGGCTGCAGAGGTTTTATTTATACAAGATCATTTTAATTTAAAATAATCAAAATAATCCTTTTTACACTTCAACAATACTCTCACCATAGAACATAGTTTAAGGTCTGACACTACTGAATCTGCTTCCTTGACATCTTCTTTCTCTGGTTTCTTTGAAGTCCTTGACCTTTTGTTCTTCCATATGAACTTTGTTATTATTTTTCTAACTCAGTAAAATGATTTTTTTAGTAACTTAATTGGAAAGACATTGAATAAATAGATTAATTTGATAAAATTGTCACTTAACAATTATATTGGCTTTCCTATCCATGAACAATAAATAGTACTTCCATTATTTATATAAAAATAATTTTATGTTTATGTTCACATAGCTCCTGTGTCTGTCTTGGTATGTGCTTATACAGTATTTTATACTGTCTATGTATTTTAAATGGTCTAAAACTATATTGAATTATCTATTTGACACAGAATAGTTTCTCTATTTTTCACTTTTGATTAAATGTATTTCAACTTTAACTCTACCTGAGATCATGATTACTATCCCTGCTTTTTTACATAATAAATTCTACTCCTGCCCTTTATTTTATCTTTGTGCATAACTCTCATTTTTACAATGTTTCTTGAAAGCAACACATTGTGGAATTCAAATTTTTAACTTGCTATCCATTTCTGTTTTGTGGGTAACATCATCCCATTCACATTCTAAGCTACAATTATTTGTTGTGTATTTCCCTCCTTCCTATTTTTCCTCACTATCCTTCTTACCCTATTTACCCTGTCTCTCTTCACTCCTCTGCTTTACTTCTACCCACTACCTCGCCCTCCTATTCCTTAACTTACCCACCCCTCCAAAAGTCCCTCCCTTATCCACTCCCCTCCACCCTATCCCCTTGCCTTCTTACTTTTTTTGAATTTAGAAGACTTTTATGTACACATATGTACATAGACACACACATACATTTCCTTCTTTAGCCCATTCCCAATGAGAGTAGGGTTTCAGCACCACCTGTCCTTCCCCCTATTAGCTTCTTCTGTATCAATTTTTCCTTTTATGCCTCATTTGCATGAGATAGTTTCTCCTTTTTATCTCTCCCTACAGCTTTTTTAGAATCACCCCATCATACTCAGCTCAGCCCAAGCCTTTCTTTCAAACCACCTAAATAATGACAATCATAAGAGTACTGCTAACGTTTTCACATATACAAAGTAAACAATTTGACCTTATTGAGTCCCTTATATCTATAGTCTTTAATGTTTACCTTATATTTCTCCTGTATGTTATATGTCAAGATTTCCCTTAAGTTCTGGGTTTTTTTGTCACAAGAACCTGAAAGTCTTTCAGTTCATTAAATATCCATTTTTTTCTTCATTCAGGATTATACTTAACTTTGCTGGGTAAGTTACCTTTGGTTATAACCCTAGTTCTTTTGCTCTATGGAATATAGTATTTCAAGACCTATGATTCTTCAATGTAGTAGTGGTAGGTCTTGTGTAATCCATATTGTAGCTCCATAATATTTAAATTGTTTTTTCCTTGTTGCTTCCAATATTTTCTCCTTAACCTGGGAGCTTTGAAACTTGGCTATGATATTCCCGTAAGTTTTCCTCCTGGGATCTCTTTCAGGTGGTAATCAGTGGATTTTTTGTATTTCTGCTTTGCCTTCTTGTTCTAGAACTTCAGGGCAATTTTTCTTGATAATTTATTGTAATATTATATCAAGATTATTTTTAATCACATTTTTCCTTTTTTAATTCTTTTTTTAATTTATTTTTAGACAATTGAGGTTAAGTGACTTGCCCAGGGTCACATAGCTAGTAAGTGTCAACTGTTTGGTCTGAGGCCGGATTTGAACTTAGGGCCTCCTGACTTCAGGGCCGGTGCTCTATCCACTGCACCACCTAGCTGCCCTTTTAATCATATTTTTCCAGTAGCCTGACTATTCTTACATTATTTCTCCTCAATCTGTTCTCTAGATACATTGTTTTTCTGACAAGATGTTTCACTTTCTCTTCTGTTTTTTCATTCTTTTGATTTTGTTTTATGATTTCTTGGAGTCTTAGAATGTTATTAGCGTCACCTAGCCCCATTCTAGTTTTCAAGGAATTAATTTCTTCCTTAAGTTTTTCATTTTCTATGTCAAGTTGGTTGACTTTCTTTTCATAATTTTCTTCATTTTCTTGGATTGCTCTTTTCCCCCCCTAATTTTCCCTCAATCCCTCTTACATGATTTTTAAAGTCCTTTTTACATTCTTCTAAGAACTCTTTTTGTGCTGGGGACCATTTGACATTTCTAATTGAAAAAGGAGTGGTTTTGTTTTTTTAGCTCCATCATCTTCCTCTGAATATGAACCCAGATCTTCTCCATCCCCGTAGTAACTATCTATGGTTGGGGTTTTTCTCCTTTGCTTACTCATTTTTATTTATTTTTTATTTTATTTTATTTTTTAAAAGCAGCTATCAATGTAATCAAGTTGTAGTCCCAAAGTATGGGGAATGATGCCCCAAGTCTCAGGTCTTTCTTACTGTTATTTACTGAGGTCTGTCTCAGGGCCCAACCTTGAGCTCTTCTCTCCACTTAGGGCTCCCAGCCACACTGTCCTGCGAATGATCTTGCTCTCTGCAGTCCCCCCCACCCCCCCATGGCTGCAAACCACAGCTGTCCTCTGCCCTGGGACTGAAAGCAGTGACTCTGCTCTCCAAGCAAGGTCCCAGCCCCTCATTACTGCACTCATCAGATGTGGACATGTCTGGTCAGCACAGCTGTGCTTGGCGTCCCTCAGCAGTGGAAGGTCCTTCAATCTTCTCCTCCCCAGGGTCTGCCCCCAGGACTTGTTGTTTGTTGATTCTGCAGAGTCTCACCCCTGGAGGTGTTTGCACTTCACCCCTGGAGGTCAGGTCTTTCCTGGGGTCTTCTCCAATTGTCTTAGGGGGACAACTGCTTTACCCCGTGTTTATTTCTGCTGCTCTGAGGCGATGGTCTGTCTTTTTTTGTGGAAGAAATTTGGAGGACCGAAAGTTTTCTGACCTATTCTGCCATCTTCCCAGAATCCTCCCTCTTGGATAGTAAATGAATGCTCGATGAAATCAAATTGTCTCTGGCAGACTTGCACCTAAAATGCAGTCTAATAGTCACCTTTTTTTCTTAATTTGGCAGACTCAGCTCTTGGAGTACCAGAGGGCTTTTGATCTCTTGGGTTTCTCAAGGGTTTTCAGGGTCTCTGGGGATCTCTCACAGACCATCCTTAAGTGCTGAGTGCAGAGGTCCATGCTAAGGGCTAGGGACTCTGCCAGGGCACTCTTCATATACTCTGGGGATCTCCAGCTCTAGTCCTTTATGAATCTCTATAGCTCAGTTTCTGTCTCTCCCTCTCTCTGTCTCCACTATGCTTCTCTGCCTCTTGCTCACCTCCAGGAAAGACAGAGGAGATGGCCTATTGAGGCTTCTCCAGGGATCTTGGGACCTAGAAAGAGGAAGCCCCTAAGGGGCTGGGACACAAGCCATCTCATCCGCTAGTTCTTCCTCTTCGACCTCTGGGGCCCTGAGGATCTCCTCATCTTCATCACTACCCATGGGACCCCATATTTGGGTCTGGGCAGGGGAGGGCCTGGCGGCCCCCAGGGCTAGCAGGTCACAGGCAGCACTGTCCATCTCATCCAGGGTCAGCCGGCAGGCATCAGCAATCTCCTGCTTTGCCAGAGCCACAAAGCGAGGGTCACGGGCAAAGAGGCCCAGGCCCTCGGAGATCAGCACCTGTGGGCATCAATCAGTGGGAGCAGGGCAGTGGCCCAGGGAAGGGAGGGATGACAGGGGAATTTTAGAATTGGAAAGGGGGCAGAGAGGATGGGAGCTCAGGATGTGTGAGGTGGGTAGCGGGGGATGTCGGATCCCAGAGGGGAACTGGCTGCAGGGCCTAAGTTATGCAGGCAGATAGGGGGAGGGGAGGAGAAGGGAGGGAGGAGAGGGAAGGGAAAAGGGAAGAAGGGAAGGGAGTACTTCTACAACCAGTTGACATGTCTAGGGGTGGGGTACCTTTTCTCAGCCCTACCCGCACCCCATTCGGACTCACAGCTTCCACCAGGCTGTCAGCGCTGCCCCTTTTCCCTGGGCTAGGTGGTAAGTGGGTGCTGGGCACATGCAGGCGGGCATAGGTGCGCAGTGGGCCCCGGGACTCCACGTCAATGTGACCTCCCTGGAGCCTGCCCTCCTCCACCAGTAGTAGGGGTGCATAGAGCACATGGCCCTGCTGAGGAGGTGTGGCCCACGAACCCTGGAAGAAGGGGAAGAAACACGTCTGGGCAGTTGGCAGTTAGCTGACTGCACCTGTCCTTGCCCCCTAAGCTCCTCCTTACCTGTGCCTGGCGGCTGCCAGAAGATCCCCCACGCTGATAGGTTCCAGGAATTGGGAAGTCATCGCAGCTCCCCTGGCGTTGCATACACTGGATGGTGAAAGAGGGCTTCCGGGCTAACAAAGTACAGGAGGGCAAAGGGTCACTGACCCCTGGCCTCTGAAACAGTCCCTCTCTCCCTGGGGCCACAACGCCCAGATCCCTCCCTCTAGACCCCTCCCATCTCATCCCCCGGGGGCTCTCACTGGCAGGTGTTGGGGGCAGTAGGCGCCTGCGGCGGGGGGGTGGGCCCAGCCGCCTCCCCAGTTGTTCAGAGGGTTCCCGAGGAGGAGGAGGTGGTGGTGGTGGGAGGAGGATGTGATGGGACCTCCAGATGAGCTCATTTACATGGGGTTGTCTGTTGGAGAGTTAAGGAGGAAATTAGAAAGAGGACAACTGGGGAAGCCAGGTGGTGCAGTGGGTGGAGCCCCGGCCCTGAAGTCAGGAGGACCTGAGTTCAAATCCAGCCTCAGACCAAACGCTTGATACTAGCTGTGTGACCCTGGGCAAGTCACTTCACCTCAATTGTCTTAAATAAAGATTTAAAAAGGGAAAAAAAAAAAAGAAAGAGGAGGACCAGGTTTGTGAAGGAGGGGCTCAGTTGGCCCTGTGAAATCCTTTTTTTTACCTTTCCTGACTGGGAGAGTGGTCCTCTTCTTCCTCCTGTTCTGCCAAGCCCTTAGGTCCTGAGGGCAGCTCTTCTGGCATGGGGAAAGCGCTGGTAACAGAGGAAGGAGACATCCTAGGTTTCTTCCATGGCCTGTTCTTCTCCCCCCCCCCATCCCGGCTCCCCTAGAGCTTAGCTCCCCCAGTGGCTACACCAAGGGAAGGGCCAGAGTGACTACTACTACAGTAACTACTTTAAAGCAGCTGGGAACACATCACACCATGAACTGGGATAAGGTCAAAATGGGTACAGGATTCAGACATAAAGAATGATAGTGTAAGCAAATTGAGGGAGCATGAAATATTATGCATAAGGGAAGATTTATGGACCAAACAAGAGACAGGGAACATTATGGGAAATAAAATGGAGAATTTTGATTACATCAAATTAAAGAGTTCTTGCACAAACAAAACCAATATAGGCTATTCTTAGCAGTACAATGATCCAAGATAATTCCGAGGGCCTTACAAAGAGAAAGAACTGACGGAATTTGAATGCAGACTGAAGTATACTTTTTTTTTACTTTACTTTATTATTCTTGGAGGTTTTTTGTGTGCATTTTCTTTTGCAACACGGCTAATATGAAAATGTTTTGCATGAATATACATGTATAATCTATATCAAATTGCTTGCCTTCTCAAGGAAGAGCACGATGAGGAAGAAAGGGAAAGAATATGGAATCCAAAAAAAATTTGCGTTAAAATTTTTTCGTTTACATGTAATTAAGAAAAAATAAAATAAAAATTAAATGTACAAAAAAGCTTGACAACGAAGCAACATTGCTACTAAATATATTTGCACTACAAATGATAGCAACAAAATGCTTAAAATAAACAAATATGCAAAAATGTTTAAAAATTTTTAAAAATAAAGCATCTGGGAGTAGATACAGGAAATATGAGGTAGCTCCAGTGGTGGCCAAGAGTCCAGCGGGGATAGATGGACTCAGAGCTAGGGAGATGTTGGGGAGAAACCTAAGTGTGGAGAATGGAAACAGTGTAATCTGTATGAAGGCATATAACTGTACTTAGGGGTTGCTTTTATTTCATTTTGGTTTAACTCTCAATTTGGAGGGGCTGCTCTTCCCTATTCACTCAGTCATTAATACCTCAGGCTTTACAAATCCATGGATATTTCTTGTCAATCAGCATAACAGAATCACTACACTTTGCCACCTGCACTGTTGCACCCACTGAGGAAGATGCCATCATTTTTCTAATTACACATATGATGATTCAATTCAATAAATGTTTATCGAGCAAAAAAATAAAAATAAAAATAACTCTGAATTTAACTCGAGTATGGGCCAAGGAGCTAAGTAAGCCAGGTCAACCGATCCTGCTTTTGTATTTGCGCCTGACACACAGTGAGTGCTTAATAAATGCTTTTCATTGACTCCTTCACCCCCTCTTCCACTTATTCATTCACTCATTCATTCAACTAGATGCCACTAGGTGGTGCCACAGTGGACAGAACCTTTGCCCTGGAGTCAGGAAGACCGAGTTCAAATCCAGCCTCCCATACTTCCTAGTTGTGTGATCCTGGGCAAGTCACTTAATCTTTGTATGCCTGAGGTTCCTCATCTCTAAAGTGGAGACAATTATAGCACCTACCTCCCAGTGTTGGCGTGAGGATAAAATGAGATAACGTTTGTAAAATGCTTATTATTATTATTATATTCCCTGTTCTCCTTGGTTACCTATGCCTGGAAGAATTCTGCCTTCTGGACCTGTACCTCTTGGTACCCAAGCCTGTGAGCCATCCCCAGGCCCCTTTTGTCCAATACCTGTGAGAATGGGCTCCAGGCAGAGGTCTTCTCACCACTTCTGGATCCTCCTCGGTGGCCACAGTCACAGACACAGAAGCAGTGGAGTCATGGTGGGATGGTGACAGAGGGTCCAGGGCATCCTGTGGGCACTAGTCACAGCCAGAAGATTTGGCCTTAAGATTATTGAGCCCAATTATCCCATTTTGCAGATGGGGAAGGTGAGACCCAGATTGGTAAGAAGCCTCAGAGCCAATGAAGTGGACTCTTGCCCCCAGAGGTACCTCATGTACTCACCCTGTCGGTCTCCTCTGTGAGGTCAGCATTGTCTCCTTCTTCTTCCAGGTCACATGTAAGGGCCTGGCGGATTTCTGGGCCCAGATCCTGCAGGGTCTTCAGCCCAGCCTAGGGATGGGGAAGTCCAGGAGGGCACCCAAAATTGGGTTTAACATTCCCCACTCCATTCCCTTCCCTTTCCCTAGGCAGGCCTTTGTCCAGGGTCTCCTTGTCCCCCAGGTCTGGCCTCTTCCTTCCCTTCCCCTCCTTTCCCACAGTGAATGCCTAATGAGAGGAGATGGACTGTGGGACTGTAGGGCTGGCCCCCAGGAAAGGCCTGGGTTCTGGCTCCCTTCCCTAGTCCCTCCCAGCCTGCCCACAGACCCGTAGGGCAGATGAGTTGCTTGGCAAGTCCTCAGCCCCCAGCAGACCCTTCTCTTTCCGACGCCGGAACTTTCGGAAATAATCCTGGATCAAGAACGTGGCATAAAACTTCCCAACAGTTACTTCCTCCTCTGTGGCCAGACATCAAGGAGGGAAAGCACAGAATTTACCATTTGGGGCTTCCTGGTAGCAGGGCTGGGTGGCAGAGAGAATGCAGGAAAATGGCAGGCAGGACAATGGAGACTCATGGACTTATTGACTCAGCCAGGGTGCTTAGAGATCATAGCTGGTTCCTGGCTCATCCCACAACACAGGGAAAGGGAGCACCTGGGGGGAGGGGATTGGGGACTGGGCTGTGACTAGTGGGGGAGTTTGGAGCCCTCCTACCATCAGGAGGTGGGATGAGCTCGTCCAGGAGTCTGGGCTTGGTGTGCTTCCAGATCTTCCTAATGACAACTCGCAGTTCCTGATTGGCCCTCTCCAGGTTCCCTGGGTGCAGCAAGGAAGACAAGCCAGAATGACCCCTTCCATTGGCCAGGTAAGTCATTCCACTTAGTCAAATGGGGTTGGAACTCCACTCCTCCCATCCATCCCTTACTGGGCTCCATCCTACCCTCAGTCTTAATCCTCAGAGATGTCCGGACCAGGGCAAAGAGGGTGGCATTGAATGTTACCGTCCCATCAGCATTCAAGGGCATGTTCATGGCCACCAGCCGCTGCAGAGGCCAAGGGCTTGTGTCACACACACACACGCACACACACACACACACACACACGTACACATGTGAGAGGGAGACATGGGTATGACAGAGACATGGGATAACCTAGCAGATTCGGAGAGAAGCAGCTCCCTAAGGGGCCCAGGCTGGAGTATTTTGGGGATGGGGAATCTCTGGGAGCTGAGAGAGTTTTGGGAAGCTTCTCGAGGGATCTCAGGGCTGGGGGACCTTGAGGGTTTCAGGAGGGTCCAGGGTGTCAGGGATTGGGTTGAAGGGGGCTCCCTTCAAGGGGCTGAAGGATATTCCAGGCACCATGATGGACAGACCTTGCAGGCCACACGGTGAGGACAGAGCTTCCCAAACCCCAAAGGAGGCTGGATGCGCCGGAGCAAGGCCACTACGTCCAAATGTTTGATGTGGCCCCTGGTTAGCCCAGAGAGAAGAGGTCAGAGCCTTTCAGGTCCCAGGGCCTCCCAGACCTCCCAGATAAGCAGCCCTCTAACTTCCAGGGTAAGGAATGGGATAGGTTTTGGTGGGCACTCGAGGGTCTGGCAGGGGTCCAGGAATATTGGGCCTGGGGTGGGGCACTGCCAAGTTAGGGGACAGGCTCATACTTGGCTCCAGGGTCGTACTCAGACCAGACCCTCTTGAACTCGTCCAGGTGGTGGGGGCCGAGGATGGACCAGTCCCGTGTCAGGTAGTCAAAGTTGTCCATTATGACAGCCACAAATAAATTGATGATCTGTCCCAAGATGAGGGCAGAAACAGAGTTAGGGGAGGGGTCCCTTAAGAACCAGGGCCAGAAGGGAGCTTAGGGGGAGCTGAGGCCCCCCAGGGGGTAGAAGGCCCTCCATTGCCATTGGCAACCTCTAAGATTATCAGCTCCTGGGTTCAGACTTGCAATGAGGCTTGAAGAGGTGACCCAGGCAAGGGGGAGAAAGGTGCTACAGGTATGATGATCCCATTTTACAGATAAGGTAACTCAAGCAAAGTAACTTGCCCTCAGTGCCACAGCTAGTGCTTCCTGACTTTTCTTTGGGTTTGGCCATTGGATCCTTGGCTCAGAGCTGGGAAGAACCTTCAAAGCCCCTCACTTTACTGAGGGGGAAACTGAGGTGGAGAGTGTGACACTGATCCAAGCCACAAGGAAGTTAGGGTGAATTCAGCTATTCAGCCTTCTCAGTCATGGCTGCCAGTCTCATAATGGGGACAGTAATAGGTGATCACCTCTGTTCAGCACTTTGCCAGCACTTTTAGGATTAATAACATCCTATATTTAAGAGGGGTCATTGACAGAGGAAACTGAAGCCCATTGAGGAGAAGCTCTCGCTCTGCCTGGCCCCACCCGAGTCACTCACCCCAACAGTCCTGGATGAAGGTAAGGGGGCTTAGAAAGAAATCAGCAGACCCCCTCCCCTGCTTCAACCCTAGAAAGGCCTGCACGACCATCGAGTCCCATTTCACTCTGCAGAAGAGGAAACTCAAGCCCAGACAGGGGCAGGAACTTGGTTGGCACAGATCACACAGAAAGTGAGGAACAAAGTCAGCACTGGAGCTCAGGGCTTTGTATTTCCAGCACAGGGCTCTTTGGATGATACCATGCTCAGAGCTGGAAGAAGCCTTAGAAACAATGTAAGCCAAGTCCTGTGTTTTATAGATTGTGGAAGTGAGGCTCTGCCATGGGACTTGGGGGAGGTTTTGGGGATCGGTGGAGTTTGGGGGGCCCTACAAGGACCTGCCCTCTGCTCTGTCCCCCGGGGGCTTACCAGGAATGCACAGAGCATGAAAAAGCTGATGAAATAGACAATGGCGAAACTGCTTCCACAGGTGAACTCTTCGCCAGGTCCAATGTCTGACTCAGGGTCACAGCGCTTCCCAGGCAGGCTGGCCAGCATGATCTCTTGCCATGCCTCTCCTGTGGCACACCTGGGCCAGGGCCCCACAGAAGAACACAGCCAATGAGGGCTAGAGCCAAGGCCCAAGCTCAGGGGACAGGACCGCAGCCAAAAGGGTCCTCGGAGAGCAAGCATCTAACCCCACCTCCATCATTTTACAGATATCGGGGAAAACTGAGATGTAGAGAAAGGGACTAGACCAAAGTCCCAGAGCAAGAGTTGGAAGCTTCTGAGCTCTGCCCAGCCCAAGTCATCAAATCAGCAGCTCAGAGCTACAAGCTGGGGTGGAGGTGGGGGCGGGGACAGATCTAATCCAACCAGAGAGGGACTGAGACTGGCCCAGGTCACACAGGCAATTAGTAGTTCTAGGTATCTGTGAGTGATCCTGTTTCTCTAACAGAGGTTGGCAACCTTTCAGACCTAACATGCTTGAGTCTCCAAGGGGCACCGAGAGAGCTAAAGGTCCAGTCTCTTACTGTTACAGAGAGCCCAGGTGGTATCATCAAATGGCAGAGCTGGGAAGGACCTTAGAGGTCACAGAATCTACCCCCCCTTTGCTTTAGAGAAGAGGAAACCAGGCTTCACAAAGGTTGAGCGGCCCTGGCCCGTGTCAAAGCCAGGCCACGCCCAGGGGCATTCCTCACCGGAAGAGGAGGAGCACGGCCTGGGGGAAGGTCTGGAAGTTGTTGTTCCGGTTAATCTGAGTTGCGTCCTGGAGGGCCACCTTCCCGAACATCTGAGAGAAGACGTAAGGGGATGATGGGGATGCCCCTGAGGGGAGCCGGCAGACCTGCCCCTCCGGGAGGCTCACCTGCATGCCAATGACAGCATAGATGAAGAAGATCATGGCAATCAGCAGGGCGACGTAGGGGAGAGCCTTGGGGCCAGCGGCAGACAGACACACCGACACAAAGAGAGCCATTAACAGAGGGTCAGCACCAGACACTGAGCCTGGGGCAGTGAACGAGGAAGGCCCCTCCCTGGGGAGGGCTGGACACTGATCCTTCCCGAGTAGCCACCCACTCGATTCTTAGTCTAACCAGTGACTCTTGCGAGCTAGGTACCAAGGACAGTGATTCTTCACTCCCGACATCCAAGAAGCCCAACAGGTGGGAGGCAGGGGACAAAACCTCATCCTAGTTATGCTTGTCAGGGAGAATTCTGGGAACTGTAGTCCTGGGAGAAGCAGGACTAATTCTAAGAGTTGTAGCTTTGGGCTGGGGGGAGGGGGGGTGGGGGCGGGGAAGGGGGGGAAACAGGAAGAATTCTGGGAGTTGTAGTCCTAAGTTGGAGTGAGTAATGTGTGTGGACTATATGAGTTGCAATCCTGGGAGAAGCAGGAAAAACCATGGGTTGGAACAGAATTCTGGGAGTTGTAGTCCTGGCATAGGGAGGAGCAGGGAGAATTTTGTGAGGTGAGCTGACAGAATGGTAATTGTAGCTCTTGGGTAGGAGAGAGCCAAAGACCTTACCTGGAAAGACTTGATAAAAGTCCACAGGAGTGTACGGATCCCTTCCCCCTTACTGAGAAGCTTGACTAGCCTCATGACACGGAAGAGGCGAAAGAAGGTGATGGAGATCCGGGAGCTATCCTCAGAGCTCTGGAATGGAGATCCAAACATTGAGGACCTGCCCCTGGACATTGCCTCTCCAAGATGGCCCTCGTCCCATCCCTGGCCATCTTCCCCCAACTTCTGCCCATGCAGATCCTCTAGGGAACTGGGGATGGAATGAGGGCATATCTGAGACCTCAGTGAGAAAAAAGGAAGAGGCAGTGTCCCAATCAAGTTACCTCACCAAGGAGTCCTCCATTCTGAGGATGATGGAGATGGCAGAGGAGAAGATGGAGATGATGGTGGAGATTATAAGATAGACAACAGACAAAAATGAGGCAAGGGAGAAGGTGGAAGAGATAAAGGAATAATAGAGGCAACAATGGAGATGCCAACGAAGAAGAGGAGGGGAAGGATGAAGACAATGAAGAAGATGAAGGCCAAGCAGGCTCTAGGGAAAAAATGGAGATCAACAGAGAGGAAGGAGCAGATGGCATTGGAGACCAGGGACAGGATGGAGGGACCAAGAACGAAACAATGGAAAAATCAGCAGAAGGTGGAGGAGAAGCAGACAAAGGTCATGGAGAAAGAACAGAACGTGGAGAAAACAAGGAAGGAGACGACAGGAGACTAGACCGAGTCCAACAGGGAGAAGGGCAATTCGGGGCTGGAGATCACGCAGGGGAGTAGCATCCTCACATTGACCTCAGTGACTGCGATGTCCACCACACTGCCCACCACGATCAGGGCATCGAAAGTATTCCAGGCATCACAGAAGTAATGCTGAGGTAAGGAGGATTGATGTGAAAAATCCAGGGGAAGTGGCAGGAGGTAGCCACACCAGGAGCTTCAAGTTCTAATGGAAATAGCCTTGGGCCAAGAGCCAGGCAAATGAGGTTCTTATCCTGGGCACTTCTCCCAATTTGCTGTGTGACCTTGGCCATATCCTATCCCCCTCTAAGCTGGAATTGCCCTCTTCCATGAAATGAGGGGTTTGGATTCAATGATCTCTAAGCTTCTTTCCCTGCTCCCCCCCAAGCTCTGAGAACTTCGTAGCTTGGCCTGTCCACGTCTGGACCCCCTCAGGAAGGTGCCAACCTTGGGCTTGAAGGCAATGACCTTGAGCAGCATCTCCACAGTGAACAGGCCTGTGAAAACCATGTTGAGGACATCCATCGTGTAACTGAAGGGAGCTGTCTGTTCATAGTGCTGGGGAGACAAAATGGGACTAGTGAGAAAGAAGGAGGGAGGAAGGAAGCAAGAAGGGGATAAGCATGCATTAAACACTTGTTATGTGCCAGGGACAAAGATGATCTCGGTGGATCCTCACAACAACCTAGGAGGGAGGGGCTATTATTATGAGCCCCATTTCACAGATGAGGAAACTGAGGCAGACAGCAGTGAAGTGATTTGCTCAGAGTCACACAACCAGGAAGTATCTGAGGCAGGATTTGAACTCGGGTCTTCCTGACCCTCTCCACTATGCCACTTAGCTAGAACACAGAACATGAAGGCTAGAAGGGACATTTGAAATAGGGGGAAAGAGGGGTACAGAGTGGGGCAGGGACTTAGGATCTCAGAATGTCTTAATGACCATTCAATACAATCTCATTACTTTAGAGAGGAAGAAATGGAGACTGTCAGAGAGGCAGGGACTTGTGTGAGTCAGATCTCATTGGATCCAATTAGAGATCATTGAGTCTAGCCCCTTCCTTTTATGGAGGAAGAAACTTAGCCCAGAGAGGGGCAGGCACCCACCCAGGGCACACAAAGTCAGGAGGTGGGGGGAGGGGATGCTAGGCGAGTCACGGACCTGCATAGCCAGGGCAATAGTGTTAAGCAGGATGAGCAGGAACATGAGGTACTCAAAAGTTGGGGAGTTGACAGTTGCCCAGACTTGGTGTTGATGCCTGTTCCTGGGAATGTAGCGTCGAAGAGGCCGCGCTTTCAGGGCATATTCCACACACTGGCGCTATAACAGAGAAGGCAGAGGTCAGCGGTGGGGACCAGGGCATGAGGAGATGCCACGTTGCTGACATAGGCCAGCACCTGGTTCTTGTCGAGTTCACAGTTCTTGTACTCTTGCTCGCCCTGGGCTCGGAAGGTGATGATGACAAAACCCACAAAGATGTTCATCATGAAGAAGGCGATGATGATGATATAGACGATGAAGAAGATGGAGATTTCCAGCCGGTAGTTGTAGATGGGGCCCTGGTCCTCTGCATGGGCATCAATTGCCTTATAGAGCAGCCTGGGCGGGGCAGAGGAGACCAAGAGATGGAGTGAATGGCATAAGGGGATGGGAATGTTCATAGACTTAGAAGGGAACTGAAGCATCCCAGGGAAGAGAAGTTACTGCCCCAAGGTTTTTCAGGTAGTGAGCAAAAGAACTAAGTGAGGAACCCACTTGCCAAGGTACCTCCCAGGCACAGGACTAAAAGGTTTTAACTCTGAGTTGTGTGTGTGTGTGTTAGTGGGGAGGGTCCAAGGGTGGGAGAGTGAGGGAGTCCAGACTCTCAGAACTAGAGAGGCTGGGAGGCTGGGGATTCTGGCCTCTCCCCATCCCACCCCCCATTGTGTGAATGCAGAGTGGAGCTCACGAAGGCCAGCCTTCAAAGGTGGAGACGGTGAACAGCGCCATCATGGCCGCCAGAACGTTGTCGAAGTTGAAGTCACTATTCTGCCACACACGCTGCCTCATGACAGGATGGGCCACATCTCCATCAGGGTACACGAGGAAGGTGCCTCTTGGGGGGAGGGGAAGAAGATAGAGGATTTGGGGAGGACTGGAGGGACTTGGGGGCTTTCCCAGGGGCTCAGAAGGACACAATGTGGGGCTTCCAGGAACCAGGAAGGAGATTTTCTGGGCACTCACTTGCACTCTGTCGGTGTGTGTTTGGCTTCATCCGTGCAGCTGTAGAGTTTCCCCTGTGGAGATACGGAGGCCATTGAACAGGGAGCTGGGGGAGAGGAGGAGTTTGCCCTATGGCATTTGGCTCCCATTAGCCCGGGACTCCCTACCTTGAAAAGCTGGACCCCAATGCAGGCGAACATAAACTGGAGCAGGCTGGTCACAATCAGGATGTTGCCGATGGTGCGGATGGCCACGAAAACACATTGGACCACATGCTGAGGTAGGACACAAGAGCGGTGCCCAGGACTGGACAAAGAAGCCCTGCGCTCTGAGCCCTGCCCTGGGTCAGGGAGACTCTGGGAAAATTCAGTTACCTTGAGGCCCTTGGCTCGATTGATGGCCCTCAGGGGCCGGAGCACCCGCAGCACACGGAGGATCTTGACCACGGAGATGGCGCTGGAACTGAGAGCCAGAGCCAGAGTCAGCCTCAGCCTACCTTGGAATTCTGGGGTTCAAGGGCCCTGGGCTTTAGGGCATCTGCTTCTCTGGCTAGGATCCAGCTCAGGCTCTTGAGGAGACCCATATCTGGTTGGGGGGGGGGCTCAGACAGCCCAGGGCTAGGATTCAAGGGGTAGGGGTCTTGGGTTCCAAATTCAGAGAGTCTTGAGTTGGGGGGGGTACCAGGTTTGAAAGGTTCTGGTTTCTGGTCATTCCTGGTTTGGTGGTCCCAGTTTCATTAGATATTTTGAGGAATATTCCTAAGTTTGGGGTTCCTAATTCTTAAGGGAGCCCATGTGACTACTCGAGGATTGGAGCCTGGGTCTTAGGAGGAACTCACTGGATGCCAAAGGAGATGAGCGATACACTGACCACCAGCAAGTCCAGCAGATTAAACCAGTTTCGGCAGAAGGAGCCTCGGTGTAGGAAGGCCCCAAAAGCAGTCATCTGGGGGACAGGAGGGGTGGCTCAGCCCCAAGGACACAGATGGGCAGACTGACTGACAGGGGGCCGCTGGGATGGGGCTGGGCGGCTCACCTTGAGCAGGATCTCAACAGTGAAGATGGAGGTGAAAGCGTAATCAAAATAACCAAGGACCTGAATGGAGGACAGGGTGTGGGCATCAGCCAGCCCCCTCTGCCTTTGCACAAGTGGGGCTCTGCAGCTTTACCTCCAGTTCTGCTCTCTGATTTGGCCTCTCTTTGGATTTCTCTGGTCCAGCCTCCAACATCTTCCTATGACATTTAGTCTCTCCTGCAGCCGCCCCCCCCCCCTTCTCCAGCATCTCAAGGGTCAAAGGATCTCTCTCTCTGAATGCCTCTGTTTCCCACTCTGCCCTTCTGGCATGTGGGCCTCTCTCAGGAGGGTTGTTTCAACCTTTCTCGCATCTCTATTTCTCTGTGAGTCTCTCTTTCATGTCTCTGTGTTTTTTTCTCTTGTTCTATCATTCTCTAGTTCCCCAAGACTCTATGCATGTGTGTGCACATGTGTGTGCACGTGCATGTGTGTGTGTGTCTGTCTGTGGTGCCTTTTCTGCTTCTTGGTTTCTGGATTCTCCCCTGTCTGGATCAGCACCCAGAACCCAGGCCCTCCAAAGTGTCCTGGGGCTGTCCATCCAGAGCCAGCTCAGACTCTCTCTCCAGCAGGTCTCAGAGCAGAGCAGATTCCACTTCACATCCCATGCAGCTAAGCCTCCCCCCCCCACCTTGTCCCACCCTTTTCTCCCCCTCCCTCTTTCCCATTCCGCCTCCTGTTCTGGGCACAATAGTCAAACCATTACTTTTGGGAAAGATGTGTTTCCAGACTCCTCAGGGGACCCACTCAACCATCCTTCTGACTCCCCCTTGGGGCAGGAATGTCTGTGTGTCTCTTGCATTTTTTAGCCCCAGTCCTGAGCCGGGGGCTTGGCACTTCTGCCATCTGTCTGCATGTCCTTGGGGCGCTGCTAGTTCTCCCCATCCCTCTTCCCCTCTCTCCTCCCTATCCACCCAGCTGCTTCTGTCTGAACAGTCATTCGTCTGTCCCTCACGTGGTTTCGGAAGGAGTGAGCCCGGATGGGGTCCTCAGCAGCCAGGGAGACACTACTCAGGATGATGAATACCAGGATGAGGTTAGTGAAGATGCGGTGGTGGATGAGAGCATGACAGCTAACCCGAAGCCTGGGACAGAGAGCGAGTAGGGATTGTGGTTCAGCGTCATCCCTGACTTACTCGGGAGGTTCACTGAGCCCCCACTAACCCACAGGCTTCCAAATACTCACGGGTTTGTGTGACTGAGGCAGAAGAAGGCACTGCCCTCAGGGATGGGCACCACTTTCTCTTTGGGTACCACTTCCTGTAGGCGTTCTAGCCTAATTCCTTCCTGGTCATCCTCCTCTTCCTCCTCCCCCGAACCTGGCCCAGGAAGGAAAGCAAGGTTAGCATGAGGAGGGAATGAATAAGCATTTCTTTATAGAATGCACCTACTGCTGTGCTCTGATCCCTTGGTCCCTCCCTATCTCTGGCTGAGGACCAAAGGATCACGGATTGAGTGCTGGAAGGGCCTTTCATTCTTTAGCCCACTAATTCATTTTACAAAATGAAGAAACTGAGGAAGTTTAAATGAAGTTAAGTGACTTACCCAAGGTCACACAGGCAAGTAGCAGAGCTGGGATTTAAACTCCGAGTCCATGGATTTTCTAGGAGATGCTGACAAGATCCTATTATTCTCCTCTGCCTCCCCTTCCCCATTCCACCTCACAGGCTGATAGATTTGGAAGGGTGCTTAGAGATCATCTAACCAAACTCCTTTTATGGGTTGAGGAAACTGAGATTGCAAGGTGAAGTATCTGGGAACCCAGAGGGGGGAAGCTTCCCCCCATCTCTTGAGACACTTTCCAAGCCTGTTCTCTATTACCTCCAGCTTCACTCTGCTCTTGCTCTTGCCTTCCTCGTCCTCTCCACAGGGCACCTGTGAGTGAGGAGCACAAGGCTCAGAGCCCCCCTCAAGTTCTAGCCCCCCAGCTTCTGTCCCAGCTAAACTCACCAGCACTCCGTTGTCTTGGGGGCTGGTTCCATGCTCAGCATTCTTCTCCCTGCTCAGGCAGGAAATGGTGGGAAGGCTTGTGGGGATGAGATTTAGAGGGAATCCCGCCACCCCCCGCCTAGGTGAGATGGGTGAGGTAGGGAGCCAGTTTCTTGTCCCTTGGCCTAGAGTAGCAAGAAGGATTCTCAGAAGGTCAGGGTGGGGTCCTTACTTTCCCCGGCCCTTGGAGGTTCTGGCATCTCCCCCTGCCAGGTTGTCCACAGCAATGGCAAGGAAGACATTCAGTAGGATGTCTGATGGTTTCAGCTTAGGATCCTAGGACCTCTAGACAATTCTTCCCTTCCTCCCCCAAAGGGTGTGTGGAAGCCCATACCATCCATACGCCCATACCGCCCATAGGAGAAGTGGGAGCCCAAGGGTGAGTGAAAGGGCTCAGAGTCTGTGGAAGCCCATGGACGAGCAGGGAGCCAGGGATGAGTTTGGGGGTCTTTGGGCTGAGGGTGAGTGGGAGGAACCCGAGGGGAGGAGGCTGTGGGTTGAAGCTGATGGGAAGCAGGGCCCCAAGAGTCAGGGGGAGGCGGGCGCAAAGGGCACATGAAGCAGATACAATTGCCGCAGATAAAGAGGATGATGAAATAGATGCAGACCAACATTCCAGGGAAGAAGGGCCCCCCATAGGCTAGGATCCCATCATACATGACCACATTCCAGTCTTCACCAGTGAGGATCTGTGGGGCCAAGGTCACTGTTGCTGAGGGGAACTGAGTCCTTGGCCCACTCCCACCCACCCTAAACCCAGTCCCCATAAACTGCTGCCAAATTCTCTGCCCAGGCTCTTCTCGACCTCCCTCTCTCCCTGATATTCTCCCCAGTCCCCAATGCCACCCTGGCTGATAGAAGCTGAAACGTGACCTGGAAGACAGTGAGCAGGGCTTGGGGGAAGGTGTCAAAGGTGCTCCGTTTGGTGTGGGTCTGATCAAAGTTGAATTTCCCCCCAAAGAGCTGCATCCCCAGGAGGGAGAAGATGATAAGGAAGAGGAAGAGGAGCAGAAGCAAGGATGCAATTGACTTCATGGAGTTGAGAAGTGAGGCCACCAGGTTGCTGAGGGATGCCCAGTGCCTGGGGGGAGGGGAGAGCCTAGTCAGGGTTTGGGCAAAGGTCAAGGCCAGGGAACTGTTGTCAGCAGGGTCAGGGTTGGGTTGGCGTTGCCACCTTCTCCTAGGTGAGAGTCAGAATAGGGGTGGGTTAGGGTTAGAAGTGCAGACTGAACAGCAGAGTTTCTGAGAATTAAGGTTAGAGATCTCCTATTTAGGGTTAGGGTTATTATCTGGCAGAAAGTAGAAAGCAAGGCCACACTGCAAGTTAGATGCAGAGCTGGGTCTGAAAGCCAGGCTCCTTCCTGCTCCCATCACAAAACAGGGATTGCAGAGTAGGGGTCCCAGATTTGGGGGCTCCAGCAGTTAAGCCAGAGAAGCCAAGAAGGAAGTGCTGGAATTTTGGAGCCAAGTTGACTGCAACTGCCCTCTTCTGGACTTCTCCATCACACCCCAGGAACCTCGGCATCCAGTCTGGGAAGGGCCTCCTGCCCCTGGCCCCTTCCTCCCTCAAACTGGAGAGCCCCCTGAGGCTAGCCCCCTTTTCTCCCTTCCCACCAGGCTGCACTCCTCTGCACTTTGCCATCATGCCCCTCCCCGAGCCCAGACCTTCCTCCCAGCCCCTTTCAGCTTCCTTTTGTGGGCATAGTGCCTGGCACACAGTGGGCACTGTATAAATGTGCCCTATTTTATGATTGTTGTTATTATTATTATTTCCCCCCACAATAGATTGTAAGCTCTTTCTTTTCTTTTGGATTCCCGGCACTTAGCACAGTTCCTGGCACACAGTAAGTGCTTAAGAAATGCTTATCAACTGACTGACTGAAATCCAAGCCCCTGTTCCCCAGCAGGTGCAAATGCAGAAACTGTGGGAGATGACATTATAAGCAAGCTGAGAAGGCCCAACTGAGCAGGACTGTGGGGAGACAAAGCCTTAGGGTCCCTTAGCCATCTGTGGCCTTTGGGAGGCAGCTCCGAAGTCTTCTCTATGGCTCTATAGACACTAATCGTAATGAAGGAATGTTTGCTTCATTTTGTCATGATAGCATACCGTAGGCACTTAATCAATACTTGGTATTCAGCAATCTGTTGAATTGGTGGCCTTGGAAGAGCTGGTTAATCTGCTCCGGCCAAAAAGCTCTATGGTTACCACTACCCTACTGCCACCTGGTGGCAGTCAATGGTTTTCTCAAAGGTGGAACCCAACAAGCTGATCTTACCAGGAGCTGGATAGATGGATTAGGGGCCATCAGGTGGCTGGCTGGTGGAGGGGTGTGGGGGGAGGATGGCAGGGAGGGGAGGGCGGAGGCTTCTCAGACCTGGTCACCTTGAAGATCCTCAAGAGGCGAACACAGCGCAGCACCGAGATCCCCAGTGACTGCATGGCCCCAGCCTCCACCAGGGCTGTCTCTAGGATGCCTCCACACACCACAAAGCAGTCGAAGCGGTTGAAGAAGGAGGCTGCGTAGGCGGCTGGGCCAAGGCCATAAAGTTTCAGAAGCATCTCCACAGTGAATAAGCAGAGCAGGACCTTGTTTGCATATTCTGGGGGGGGGTGATGGAAAGCAGTGTTTTGGGGCTCCTAGGCTATCGTTCTTGGGGCTCCACAAGGGCTCCACTCAGTGGGGTCCTGCCACCAGGGGCTCCCAAGGGCATTTGGGGGCAGGGAGGATGTAGTTGTCTTAGTAGATCTCACCCTGGATTTGTGTGAGCCAGACCGGCTGTCCGTGGTGCTCAGAAGCGATGGTCAGTGTATTCAGAAAGACCAGAAGCAGAACAGTCCAATAACAGGCCACAGATTTCACGGCATGGCGGCAGTGGGTCCTGAGCACCCTGTTGGCCCTTCGCACCCTGCGGCTGGGGTGGGGGAGGAAGAAAGGAGGACTTGGTAGCCTCCTTTCTCCACCCTCCCTCTGCTCCTAGGCTGCCACTGAGAAGTGATTAATCCATTTCCATGGTTTCAGGGAGTTCCTTGAACTGCTGCCTGGACAGTGTATGGTGGATCTAAGGCCATGTAACCCAAGGATGCCGGGGGAAGGAGGTTCGGTGGCTAGGTCCTCTGGTTAGTAATCATTAGATGTGAGATTTGAATCCAGGGCCCCTCATCCCAGAGCCATGCTGGCTCTCTGTCTTAAACTCAACACACACCAAAGCGAATGTGTCCATTATCTTCTCCCCCCAAACCATTCCACTCCTCCCTAGCTTCCCTATCCCTGGCAAGGTGGCCACCATCTTCCCAAGCCCCCTGACAAAGTCTATGTGGTAGTTTTCTTTGACTCACAGCACTCATCCAATTCTTTCTCTCTCTCCTGGTTCAGTCTCCCATCACCCCTTGCTTGGACTACTGTCACAGTCTCCAAACTGGTGACTCCCCCAAATCTCTTCCCCTTTCCAAGCATCTTCCTAAAGCCTACTTCTTTCCCTGTTCCAGAAGCTTCACGACTTCCTAGGGCTCCTAGGAACCAATGTCCTCCCCTCAGCCCTCTGCAGGCTGCCTCCAATCTGCCCACTGTCCAACACGCTGTCTCCCACTTCTGCAGCTGCGTACAAGCCCTCCAGGAAGGCTTCTCTGGGAATCTTGGCAAAATGGCAGCTGGGGTGGGGGGAGGGGCGGGGAAGGGACTGGTGGGCGGTCATGGGAGATTCCTAACCTCAGGGCTGCCTTGGCTCTTCCTACAAACTTACCACAGCCTGGTCTTCATGATCTTGGCCCTGCAGAATGGAAGGGGCTAGGCTGAGTCTGGGGAGGGAGGAGCTTCATTTGACAGATCTGTGAACTGAGGCATTCCAGAACCCCCTCCCCCACCCCAGGGCATCAGGACAGACCCTGCCTGGCTGCTTGGAGTGGGAGGGTGGCACTCACAGGTTTCTGCTACAGGCATTCCCTGCCTCTTCATCTTCCTCAGCCCCAGTCTCTGCACTCATTGAACCTGTTTCACTAGCTGGAAGCAGAGGGGGAGGGGGAGAATATGACTAGGCAAGGACACCCTCTGGGCCTCTGTGTCTCACCCAGGGTCCCCCTCCTCCCATAGGCCCATACCACCCACAGGCCCATACCACCCATATGCCCATACACCCATACCACCCATACACCCATGCCACCCATAGGCCCAGACCACCCATGCCACCTATAGGCCCATATGGCCCATAGGCCCATGCCACCCATAGGCCCATACACCCATGCCACCCACAGGCCCAGACCACCCAGACCACCCATAGGCCCATATGCCCATACACCCATACCATGGCTGCTAGTCGAGTGACTGAACCACCGTAGTCGGCTTCGCTTCTTGTGGATTGTCTCAGACAGGGTCACTCCTGTAGGGAGGGAAGAGGCATGTGGAAGGGGTGGCTGGACTTCTGCTGCCCCCACCCCACTTCTTCCTTTGGTGCCTGTGAGCAAATGGTCCTTGTCAAGGTAAGCAGGGACAGAAGGCAGAGGACTTGGGCTCCCATTCGGATTCTTGCTACATCGCAGCCTCCTCCTGGGCTCTCTAGGTCTCAGGCTCCACTCCCTCCCCATATCCTCATCTACTTCCCCACCTGTACAATGGAGGGATTGTCTCAAAGTCTCAAAGGTTCCTCCCGCTTAGAAATGCTACATTTGATCTCCAATTACACCTCCATAGTCTCAGTCTGTGCCTGGGCCCAAGTGGCCTAGTGGGATTTGAGGTTGTGTGGGATGTCACTCCCCAGGGACTGTGCTTTGGGAGTCCCCTCCCCCCATACGTTGCTGCAGCCTTCCAGTGGCCACTCCTTCCTCCTCAGCCTCTGCCTCAGTCTCCCCCTCCTGGTCTCTGAAGCCCAGTTCTTCAGCCTGGGTGAGCCACTCCAGGTAGCCTCGAAGGTCTTCCTCCATCTGCTGCTTCTCCCGAAGTTTCTGAAAGTCTCCCCGGGCCTTGGCCTTCTCTCGTTCCTTGGAGAATTCCCTGAGAACATTCAGAGAGAGCTGTGATGGGTGGAGGGGTACCAGGGATAACTGTCTGAAGGCCTCTGACCACTCCCAGGGCTCACCCACTCAGGACGCCCAGTACAAGGTTGAGGACGAAGAAGGAGCCAAAGATGACCAAGCTGACAAAGTAGAGCCAGGGAAGCTCATACCCCATGGCATCTTGCATCTGGAGGAGAAGGGGGAGGAGGGAGGGGAAGGGGGGGGAGGGGGGGAAGGGGGAAAGGGAGGGAGAGAGGAAGAAGACAAACGGTCAGGTGAGCTCAATCTGCCTCACCCTGGGGGAGCCTTGGCCCTGAATCAGGGCTGGGCTAGGCACCGTCCTCCCCCCCGCAGCTAGGAGCCATACCCAGTACAGAACATCAGTCCAGCCCTCCATGGTGACACACTGGAAGACAGTCAGCATGGCAAAGAAGAAGTTGTCAAAGTTGGTGATGCCTCCGTTGGGCCCCGCCCAGCGGCCTCGGCACTCGGTGTGGTTGGCAAGACACTGTCGGCCAGAGGAGCCCGGCATGGCGCAGGGGGATGGATCCTCCTCAGCCTCCAAGTCTGTCCACAAGAGAGGAGAGAGAGGAGAGGAGGGAGGGGAGGGGAGGGGAGGGAGGGAAGGGGAGGAGGAGGGGAGGGAGGGAGGGGACAGGGGGGAGGGAGGGAGGGGAGGGAGGGGAGGGAGGGGACAGGGGGAGGGGAGGAAGGGGAGGAGGGAGGGGAGGGGACAGGGAGGAAGGGGAGGGAGGGGAGGAGGGAGGGAGGGAGAAGGGGAGGGAGGGGAGGGAGGGGAGGGAGGGGAGGGAGGGGAGGGAGGGAGGAAGGGAGGGGGGGAGGGAAGGGGAGGGAGGGAGGGGAGGGACGGGAGGGAGGGGAGGGAAGGGAGGGAGGGGAGGGGAGGGGACGGGAGGGAGGGAGGGAAGGGGAGGGGAGGGGAGGGGAGGGAAGGGGGGAGGGGAGGAAGGGGACAGGGAGGGAGGGAAGGGACAGGAAGGGGAGGGGAAGGGAGGGAGGGGACAGGAGGAGGGGAGGGGAGGGAAGGGAGGGGAGGGAGGGACGGAGGGAGGGAGGGGAGGGAAGGGGGAGGGGGAGGGGAGGGGACGGGGGAGGGAGGAGGGACAGGGAGGGAGGGAGGGGAGGGAGGGACAGGGAGGAAGGGGAGGGGAGGGAGGGAGGGAGGGAGGGAGGGGAGGGAGGGGACAGGAGGAGGGGAGGGGAGGGGACAGGGAGGGAGGGAAGGGGAGGGACTAAGCAAGGATGAGTGCACCTTATGTGCCAGGTGCCATGCCATCCACCTTTGACAAGTATTATCTCATTTAGTCCTCATAACAACCCTATTTATTGTCTATTGCTAGATACTATCATATCACCCCCATCGCACAGTTGAGGAGACTAAGGCAAACAGAGATTAGGTGACTTGTCCAGGGCCACACAGCTAATAAGTATTTGAGGCTGGATTTAAATTTGATTCTTCCTGACTCCAAGGCCAGTGGACAGGGGAGGGGAGAGTGGGCTCAAGCCGAGGAAGCTCTGCCACTCTAGTTACCTGAGCCCCGGATGAAACAGGTCTTATGCATGCGGCCCAGGAAGAGTTCAAGGCCTATCACTGCATAGATCATGATGACAAAGAGCACCAGAAGCGCAATGTGCAGCAGTGGAACCAGGGCCTTCAGAATGGAGTTGAGCACTATATGCAGGCCTGGGGGGGTGGGGAAGGTTAGGGCCTTGGGCCTTGGGCAGGCTTGAGGGGGGCCTCCCCATTACCCCCCATCCCTCCAGGGAGGCCCCCCCCGGGGGCTGCCTGCTTCCTGCCCAGCCCTGCCCCTCCTGGGGAGCTGAGGCTCTTTGTCCTGGGAGACTGGAGGCCATCCTGTCAGTGAAACCTTCTGGATCATCGCAAACTCCCTCTGTTCTCCAAAGTGAGGAAGGTCTCCAGAGGCCCCATCCAGCACTGTCTGCACACTCTGCCCTCTAGCTGAGGACCTCTCATCCCACACTGAGACAGCTGGCAATCCTGTCCATACTAATTCCATCTCCCTCACCTCCCTACTTTCTAGTTCTTTTTTTCCCTTGTGCAGCCCGGACTCACTGGGGACCCCAGATACCAGCCGGAGGGGCCGAAGCACTCTGAATGCCCTCAGGGCTTTCACATCAAAGCCTCCGGGCTTCCCTGCTGTGTGGGAAACATCCCCCGGACGAGGAGGGCCCTGCTCCAGGAGAACACTGAAGAGCCTGCAAGGGGGTTGAGGCTAAATTAGGAGAGCTCAGGGCCCATTCAGATAACAGGACCAGCTGGGGGCAGAAGTGGGTTAGGGTCAGAAATGGGGATCTCTGGCTATTCCTTGTGCTCTGGGGCCCAGGGTGGCCTGGGGAGGTGGACAGAGCCACAGGGAGGCAGGGGAACCTTGGTGGGAGCTAGGGGAGGGGCCGAGGAAGGGATAAGTGGATCCAGAGGAGAGATGAGCATCCGGGCAGAGGGCTGCTGCACACCCTACAACCACAATGATGAAGTCCAGCAGGTTCCAGCCATTGCGGATGTAGGCATTGGGGTGCAGCACAAGGCCATAGGCCACGATCTTTAGCGCGGTCTCCACAGTGAAGATCACCAAGAATGCATACTCCACCTGCTCCTGGGGTGAGGAGGGGAGAGTGTGGCTGTGTTGGGGGAGGGGGGAACAAGTCAGGCCCATTGGTATCTAACGGATGTATGGCCACCCAAGAAGTGCCTATGGAGGCTCTGAGGCAGTCTAGGGGGTGCTGAGGGGCATCTTGAGTGGTCAAGGGGAAGCCTGTGGGTCCAGGAATGCTCATAAAGGGCTCTGGAGTGGTTTGGGGGTATCTGCAGGGTATTTGAGGGCCCTGCTCCAGGAGAGCACTGAAGAGCCTGCAATGGGGTTGAGGCTAAATTAGGAGAGCTCAGGGCCCACAGGACCAGCTGGGGGCAGAAGTGGGAATCTCTGGCTATTCCTTGTGCTCTGGGATGCAGGGTGGCCTGGGGAGGTAGGCAGAGCCATGGGAGGGGGTGCCTTAGGGAAATCTTTTAGGGGTCCTGGGAAGTTTCTGTCTGAAGGCAGTTCAAGGACTTGGAGGGTGAATGGGTCTCTGGTGGTGTAAGGGAGTTCTTACCAGGTTGTGGTTGCCTGCATTGGAGTCATCCTCTGGGAAGGGGACATAGACCCCAAGGGCCACACAGTTGGCAAAGATGGTCATAAGGATGAGGATGTCAAATGGCCTGAAGCAGGTGAGGTCAAGGAAGCTGGTGGGGGTGGGTTTGGCTCCCCATCTCTTTCCTTCCCAGCCCAGGTCCCCAAGTGAGGAAGGGTGGAGTTGCCCAGATCCTGCCCTGTGTTTTTGCACTGCCCACTGCCCATATCTTCAGTCTGGGAGGAAGGAAAGGCAGCTCCATGGATTGGGGTGGGGGCAAGCCAGACAGGATACTTCCATTCCACGATGGTGATGCAGAATCTCCTCACTGGGTTGGTAAGGCTTAGGCAGAAGAGGGCCCTGGGGGATCGCTGGATCCCCCCAGGCCCTGGGGCCTTATGTTTGCTGGGAGGAGCCTTCCTTCGCCCTGCTGGCATCCCGACTTGGCCTCCTCCCCCTGGAGGGGGTCCAGTAGCCAGACCCCACTCAGGGCCGGGGCCCGAGAGCCTTTGAATTATGTCTGGAGAGGGAGAGAAGAAGGGAAGAGGCTATGTCTCAGAGGGCCTTGTAGGACCAGGTGACCCCCAATCTGGCTAAACCAATGGAATCTTGGTGCAAATCTGGGGTGTGTCCCGTCAAGATTCGGGGGGTCTCTGGGGCCTCTGGGTCAGGAGATCTGGGGACCCTGGGCCTGAAGCTGAGGGGAGGCTTGGGGGCATAGACGTCGGCATTGCCAGGCTCACCTAACCCGCTTTCGGCTCCCTCCATCCTCTTCCCTCTCGCTGGGATGCCAGGATTAAGGCCAGCCAGCCTTATGGGCTAGAAGGGAGGGGGAGCCAGATGGTTCTTCCTAGGGGCCTTGGGGGGCAGGGGATCAAGAGGTGGGAGTGGCCAAAGGTCATATATATACAGCGCTGTGATGGCCTCCCCCGCAGGGATTCGCGTGTCTGGGCCCTTCGTTTTCTCGCAGGGGTGATCACGGCGGCCGGCCACTGGCACCACCAGCCCCTGCCCCACTTCACTAGTTCACTCTCTGCCGCCAAGGGGAGTCCTGTGATTCGAAGGACGAGAACGCTGGAGCGCATGCCCGAGACCTGGGAGGCCTGAGGACTACAAGTCCCAGAGAGACGTGCGCCTGCCCCCCCCCCCCCCGCTCGCCGCTCAAGGCGGAGAGAAGAAAGAAACTACAAGTTCCAGAGGGCGCTGCGCGCTCGAGCCAGGTGACTTGGCTCTTCGTCCTTCGGCTCCCAGGCGGAACCCAGGCGTCCGAGCCCGGCAAAGAGGCTACCGAGCTGTGGAGCGCGTGCTGGGGACGGCATGGAGGAGGCGGACCGGATTCTGATTCATTCGCTGCGCCAGGCGGGCTCGTAAGGAACCGGGCCGCGCTGGGGAGTCATCTGGGATTCGTGGGGAAACTGACGAAGCTAGGCTTGCCAAATAGGCAGTGCCAAGACTCGGACAAGGGTCCTGGGCCCTGGGGATCCCCTTCCCCCAGCCAGGCCTCCTCCCCGCCCCCCACCACCACCACCAGGGCCCGACGTCCCAGGCACTACTCCATCCCTGACAGGGCCATCCCCGAAGATGTCCAGTCTCTCCGGGCCTTCACTGCAGAGCTGGCCGTAGCAGCCGTGGTGGGTTGTCTGCAGGTACTTCGGCCCTCCCTGAGCTCCAGCCTTAGCGCCCACCTGCCTCCTGGAATGTCTGCCCGCTTTCGGCTTGGCATGAGTCTGGCTCAAGCCTGCTCGGTGAGGCCTGGGACTCGTATTGGATTGAAGCCTGGGGGAAGGAGGGGAAGGAAGCGAAGGGGCTGCCAGGCCTGGGGCCTGGAGGAAACAGGTGGCATCTGGCCTCTCTCTGTCCCTTTGTCCTCCCCGGCTGGTCATGTGCCGCCAGGATCTAGGTTATCCGCGAGAGCTCGGTTACCAGAGTTTTCTGTACCCAAGTGAGCCAGACCTGAGGCAGCTACTGCTCTTCCTTGCAGAGCGGTTGCCCCCCGACCCTACCCAGGAGAGTGCTCAGCCCTCAGGTAACTGGGGTCCCACAGAGGCTAGGCTAGGGCAACGAAGATGGGGGGGCAGGGCGTGGAGTGGCTGCCTGGCTGGCTTGAGAGCTAAGTGGAGCCTTCCTCCCCTGCTCAGTAGGTGAGTCGGCTATCCTGCTCCGTGCTGTTGGCGCCCAAGTAAGGGAACTTCTGACAGAGCCATGGGTGCCCCCAGCCCTAAGGCCTCAAAAGTACCAGGTATGATTGCCCCCCCAAAACCCCTCTTTTCTCTCCCAGCCCTGCTGCTGCCCAGCTTGGCTCTTGCTTTCTCCCTGTCTTCCTCCTGCCCAGGACCGTGTCCCTCTGAAGCCTCTCCACGTTCAGCCCTTCGTGTTCCCTAAGGCCAACACCCCAGAAGGTAAGAAGGGGCCCAAGACTTTGGTTAGCCACGCAAAGATCTTGGTCAGGCAGGCCCTGCCATTTTGTACCAAAATGCTCTCAGAGCTACAGGAGTCCACATGTACTCCACACGAACACAGCTAACCTGAGACCCCATCTCTCTCCCTGTGACCAGGTGCCTCCGAGGTGCAGGAGTTCCAGGGAGGACCCCTGGTGCCCCCAGTTCCTGCCCAGATCCCCTGTCAGGCCATCCGGGCAGCTTCATTTCTAGAGGAGCACACAGCCCAGCTCCGGGAGGTGCCTGAAGGAGACGCTCCTGGAGATGCAGACAAGGTTAGGCCAGACCCCTTGCCCCCCCACCCCCACCCTGTGTGCTTTGTCTCTGTTTCTCCTCTCCTCTCCTCTCTCTTCTTTCTCACTCTCCCTACCCTTCACTTGTGCAAATGCCCTCCGTTTGGGGGAGCCTCAGAGTGCCCAGAGGGCTCCATTGTGGATGGAGGAGCAAGAATAGATGCTCCTTCTTTCTCCATAGGCTTGCAGGAGGTGTCTGGCCCCGCGGCTGGTGGAGCAACTGAGGCAGAACTGGGGGCAGGCCACATCCAGTGCCTCAGGGGCTCGTGGACCAGGCCGAGAGCTGGGGGAGCTCCTCTGCACCTGGGGGCCTCGCGGGAAGGGTTCCAGATTCACTCATGCTGAGAAATTCACTTTTGCTCAGGTAGTGGCCAGGGGACACATGAGGGATTGAGGGCCCAGGTCATTGGATGGGGAATCTGTAAAGCCCTCTCCCTTTTTGTTTTTCCCTGCCCCGCCCCCAGGAAGAGAAAGTGGCCCATGCCCCACCTTTGGCACCTGCACAACATCCCTCACCACTGTCCCCGCTGTCCCCCGCCCACTTGGAGCGGGAGGTGCAGGCAGGGCAGGAGGCAGAGCTGGCCTCTCTCCAAGGCTGCCTGGAGCTTGTGGGCCACAGCATCCAGGAAGCCGGGGCCACCATGAAGAGGCTGACGCTTAGCACAGGCCAGGTCAGGGGGTGTGGCTGGGGAGGGGACGACACAGACCTGGGGGGTGGAGGAGGAGGATACTCCTTCCGACCTACTGACTAGGAGCTGGGGTACAGATCGAAGCAGAGGCCCACCAAGACTGGCTGAGTGCCACAGAGCGGGAACAGGCCAGGAGGCTGAAGCGCCGGGCCGTCGACTTGCTGCCAGACGCCCCTAGCAACCTGGCCAAGCTGCAGGTGAGTGTGGCCAGTCACCAGGGCCTCCTGGTGGCAGACTTAGCACAGCCCCTGGTGACTGTTTTTTCGTCTCCCATTGGGTCCAGGTGGTGGTAGAGGCCAGTGCCCAGCGTGTCATCCACCTCACTGGCCAGTGGGAGAGGCATCGGGTGCCACTCCTGGCTGAATATCGGGCTCTGAAGAAGCGTCGGGACCAGAGAGAGGTGACCCCACCTGCTGCTCTGATACCAACCCTGGGTTTTTGACAGCCATTCTGTGGGGTTTAGGAGTGGGAGGCTTGGACAGGCAGGCAGCCTCCAGGGGCCTTCCCCATAGGATTTTCCCTGAGTTAGGAGCAAAGGAGCTGTCAGCCCCTCTTCCCCCCCCACCACATTGACACTTGGGGAAACTGAGGGCCCCTTTTTTTCCTATCTAGTTAGAATCATCACACAGGGCAGCTGAACTCCAGGCTCTGCAGGACTGTGTGCGGGTAGCTGCTGCAGAGGCCCGACGCAAGGAAGGGTTACATAAGCAGTTGGTGAGTGACACTGGCTGGTTGGTTTCCTGCGAGGGAGGAGGGCCTGAGACCTGGCTCGGGGGCAGGGGCAGGCCCTCAGGACTGAAAGACAAATGGCCCCGGGCCCTTCACCAGGTAGCTGAGCTGGAGACCCTGCCTGGAGACATGGCCCGCTCTGCCTACACCCATCGCATCCTGGAGATTGTGGGCAGCATCCGAAAGCAGAAAGAGGAGATCACTAAGGTGAGGCCGCCTGGGGCCCCTGCTTTCCACCCTCTTGGCCTGACCAGCCCATGCTCACCCATCGTCTACCTCTCTTTCTTACTGGGGCTCACAGATTCTTTCTGATACCAAGCTGCTTCAGAAAGAGATCAATGCTCTATCTGGCAAGCTGGACCGGACCTTTGCTGTCACAGATGAACTGGTCTTCAAGGTAGGTGTGTTGGGTGCCAAGGAGGAGGCCTGGGCCTGTGTAAGGCCGTTGGGGGGGGGGGTGCGGCTGCTTCCTCAGCTAAGCCGAAATCCCCCTGCCAGTCTGAGCTCCTTGCCTCCTCCCTGGGGTTGGCACAGTTTTGAAGTCAGCGTGTGGTAAGCTCAGACTTGAGCACGTCTTTGCAGCCAAGTAGAGAGATGCTGGTCCAAGGGACTGTCCGGACCTGGTGGGTGCCAGGAGCCTTAATGGCTATTATAAAGCCCCCGGGCTGTTGAGCATTTTTCTTCCTGACTTGGATGAAGAGAAGCGTGCTTTCACACTGGCCAGAGCAGAGGGCTTGAGTGGGCGAGGCCTGGTTTCAAATCCCTTCCCTCCCTCGAGTGGCTAGGATGTCAACACTAGGAGGCTTCTTCTTACTCACTGAAGGGTTAGGAGGACCCAATCAGTGTCATCAGGCGAAATGGCAAGCTTGTCTGGAAGGGGGTGCTGTTATGTGGGGAAGGGGTCAGGTTTGGCCTGGAGTAGCCTTGGCAGACTCTGGACTCCTTGCCAGCTGTGGGATTTCTAAGGTCTCTTTGGCCCCTTGGCCCACTTTTCTCGTGTGCCCCTGCAGGATGCCAAGAAGGATGATTCTGTGAGGAAGGCCTATAAGTACCTGGCAGCCCTGCATGAAGTGAGTTGGGTGGGGTTCCCCAGGGCCAGCCCCTGCTGCTGGGGATCCTCCCCCTGACCTCCCCCCTCCCCATATCTCTCCCAGAACTGCAGCCAGCTTATCCAGACCATAGAGGACACTGGCACTATCTTGAGGGAGGTCCGAGACCTGGAAGAGCAAGTGAGGAGCCAGGGAGGGTGGGCAGGACCCTGGAGGCTGCTGGAAGCTCCCCCAGGGTCACAACCACCATCTTGGCCTTACTTTTCCTTTGACCACTGAGACCATTGTCAAGGAGTCTAGATGAGGTCTGCTCCCTGAGTGTTGGCATCCAGGACAGGCCCTAGGGGACAGCTCCCCTCGCCCCCCAGCCTGCCCCCCCCTTTGGTCTTTGATCTCTGCAGTATCACTTGGGGGACAGTCTGGGAAACCCCTCAGGACCAGTAGAAGGCATCCAGGACAGGCACACTGAATCCCCCCCCCCCCGCCATGCACACATCATGGCCGTCAGGGGCCTTGGTCAGCCTGACTCTTGCTACCAGGTGGCACATACCTCTCTAACCCTCACTTTCTGCACCAGATTGAGACCGAGACTGGCAAGAAGACACTCAGCAATCTGGACAAGATCCTGGAGGACTACAAGGCAGTCCGCCAAGAGAACGCGGGCCTGCTGGGCCGAGTCCACGAAGCATGAGGCTGCCACAGCGGGACAGCCTCACCCAGCACCGTTTCCCTTTGGGCAGAGGCCCTGATAGGCCTTTCCCTCAGGCAAACCCTCTACCAATGTGTGGTTCAGCCATAGGGCCTTTATTGGTGGAAGGAGACCAAGGCCCCTTCTTCACTTGGGGGGGGGGCCAGAGCGGGAGCAAGACAACCAATAAAAATGGTTCCTTCAGCAGCCAGACTCAGGTGTGGCTGGTCAGCTGGGGGGCAGAGGGAG